GTAGCTGTAGCTGTAGTTGTAGTTGTGGTTGGGGTGGTGGTTGTTTTTGTAGTTGTAGTTGTGGTTGGGGTGGTGGTTGTAGTTGTAGTTGTAGTTGTAGTTGTAGTTGTGGTTGGGGTTGTAGTTGTAGTTGCAGTTGCAGTTGTAGTTGTAGTTGTACTTGTAGTTGGTGTTGTTGTTGTTGTTATTACTATTGTTATTGTTCTCTTGTTCTTGTTATTGATATTGTTCTCGTTGTTGTTATTGTGATTACTCTGGTTCTTGTGCTTGTTCTTGTTATTGTTATTGTTGTTCCTGTTGTTGATGGTGGTGGTGTTGTCTTTGTCGTTGTCGTTGTCGTTGTCGTTGTCGTTGCTGTACTTTGTATTTGTAGAAAGTACCAGTACTTCGACTAGTACTGCTGCTGCTGCTGCTGCTGCTGCTACTACTACTACTACTACTACCACCACCACTACTACCAATACCACCAGTACATTTACGGCCTCCTTGATGTTCTCGAGCGATTCCTCCAGGTAGGCGATGAACTTCTTGCGCACCGGAAGCTTGAGCTTAAAGTGCATGTACAAGCTCCTGGGTAAAGGGTTCGAGCTTGAGAGTTTGGGGTGGGATACCTTTTGGGGATCTATAGGGGGTTCATAAGCGTTTCGTAAGCCACCCCCGACACACTACACCCTCACTGCAAAGCTCTAAGCCCGAACGCCTGAGCCCACGAGTCTATTTCGGGGCCTTCATAGCTAGAATGGGGCTTGGGGGTGGGTTGTAGTAGGAGTATTGAGGAAGTGTTTGAGACCCCTACGAACCGTAAAACCTACACCCCAGACTCTACCCTAAAGCCTAAAGCCTAAACCCCTAAACCCTAAACCCTAAACCCCTAAACCTTAAAACCCCAAACTCTAAACCCTAGACCGTAAACCCTAAACCGAGGCTCGGAGGGCTGTTTTCGTGGACCCCCGAGGCTCTTGTCCGTTTACGGCATCACGTTTGGGGTTTCGGGTGGAGGGTTTGAGGGGGTTTAGGGTTTAGGGTTTAGGGTCTAGAGGTTTAGGGTTTTCCAGCTTTGGGGTTTTAGGGTGTTGGGTGTATGGGTTTGCGATTGACTGATTGAAGTTTAGGGAAGGTTTAGGGTGGTAGGGCTTGTTTGAAACTTGAGATTGCAAGCAGTAGGGCTCCAGGGTTTTTTGCTTTTGGTTTCAGGTCGTCTGCTCTTGAGGATTTGTTTGGGTTACCTTACATGGTTGTAAAAATTATAGATGGTCCACAAAATCATGGACTGGACTCAACGGAAATGATAATAACGCAAGACTCCTTCCGATGGGATGGCCTGAATCCGTGCGCAGATCGGGAATCGGGAATGGGTGTGAAGTCTAGACCCAAAGCCCTAAAGGCGTGTCCTGGGTATCATGCCCACGTCGTAGATGAAGTTGTAGGTGCAGTGGAGCTTGTCGTACTCGTCCTTGACTGCTACAAAAGCATCAACGACGATCGCAAGGAAGAAGTTCAAGAGGGTGAAGAATACAATGAGCATGAAGGAGGCCGCATAGAGCCAATACATGGCCAGCGACAGACCTGGCGGGTTTAGGGTTTAGGGTTTTGGTTTAGGGTTTAGGGTTTAGCGTTTAAGGGTTTAAGGGTTTAGGGTTTAGGGTCCAGGGTCGACTTGCTCTGGGCTGCTTTAAAGTTAGAAAGGTCTACAGTAGCTACCCCCCTAAAAAAATCAACCCTCATGTTTAAGGCCTAGTTGAGGGACGGGCGCATTTAGGACACCCAAATTTCTTAAAACATCTTGCGCCCCAAAGCAAAAAAAGAAAGCCTCGGCATGACTCCAACGTCTTCTCCCCAAATCCCCCCTGCCTTCATGGAGTTGAGGGCTTCGGCTTTGAGTCTTAGGGTTTGTTAGGGGTTTAGATTGGAGGCTTAGGTTTTAGGGTATTATAAGGTCTAGAGTCTAGAGCTTACGGAGTTTAGGGTTTAGGGTTTAGCGTTTAGGGCTTAGGTACTTTTGAACAGCCCTGAAATTTCACCTCCAGGCCCTGAAGGCACACACCCAAACCCCCTACGCCCCTACACTCTTCAACCCCAACCTATACCTGCCAAAGTTGACACCCCTAAAGACTACAGAACCCTTTGAAGGAATGCTTGAAAGAGCCCTTCAAGGAACCCGGAGCCCGGAACGTAGTGCATCGAAGCCCACAGCTCCCAGAGCCCACCCGGTTTAGGGTTTAGGGCTTAGGGTTTTGACGACCCGATGACTTTGTGAGATCAGGGTTCTTTTAGAACTCCGTGAAGGGGTTCGGATGTGTAAAAAAACACCCCCTAATTATGGGTTTAGGGTTCAGGGTTTAGGGTACCAAGTTTCTTCACAAAGCCCTGAAGGCCTAGACCCTAAGCCGTAGACCCGAGTGAAACCAGGGTTTAGGGTTTAGGGCACCCCCAAGTACCCTAGCCCCTAAACGCTCAGCCCTCAACTTATCCTAGAACACTTGAGGCCACCCTCTGAGGAACCCTGAAAAGGAACCCTAGCATACTTGGAGGACTTAGCCAGTAAGGCTGTAGGTACCTTAGTTAGGGTCATAAGTAAGTCTAAGGACGGCAGCCGTATTTAAAGCCCTAGTTACTGAGTGCTGTGAACCTTTAAGTACATCCGAAGCACCCTAAGGTAGCTATGCTTATATTTACGTATAGCCCCAAGCAAGGTCGTCATACTGTTGATGATATAATTCCTGCATTACCCGTAGTAAGGAATACACCATAATTCCCATAGTTTAGGGTCCTTAAGGTGATGCAGGATATAGGGGCCTTCATAATTAGAACAGGGTTTCGGGGTATATTATACTAGAATTATGATAAGATTCTCCCCAAATAGTCTATAGTATATCACCAACAGTAGCACTTAGGGTTATAAAAATAAGGTAAGTATACTCAGAACCAGTTACATAATCCCAATAATACCCCTAAACCCTAAACCCTAAACCCTAAACCCTCAACCCTAAAACCCTAAACCCTAAACCCTAAACCTTATAACCCTGCTTACTAAGCCACAGGATCCCAGGCCTGAGAGCTGCTCCGCGCCGTCCACAAAGATGAACTCGCCAAAGAGCATCCTCACCTGCCCAACTGGGGTTTATGGTTTTGGGTTTAGGGCTTCGGGTTTTGGGTTTTTGGGTTTTGGG